AGCAAAATTTTAATGTTAAGGGTTATTTAGTGGAATTCCCTTTTTGAATTTGCTCAAGAAGTGTGCAATCTTAAAGGGCATAGATTTAAATTACTTTTGATTTAATTAGGTTTTTATGATAGTAATAATATTTTTGTTTTCAGTTGTGTATGAACATCGTGCCCGGCTGGAGAGATCTCTTCAAAAGGAGAAAACAGACCACAAGAATACAAAGCTTGGTGCGTACTTTGTACTCAATCATAAGTCAAGTAGTGTTTAACTATTGTCAGTAAATAGGTGTTGTCGCTGTATACGGCCACTTACAAGGAAAAAAAACAAAAGAATAAACTTGAACTAATTTCTTGCCTTGTAAGTTCTTGTGATTGCTTAAGAAATTTCAGCATTGGTAACTTCTGTGATAGTATTTTATAACAGCATTTGAATGAAAAACAAAATGAGTGTTGACATAGTGGTTGCTAACTGGGAGTGGTCGTTTCTGAAAGTGGTCACTAAGAAAGGGTTGACTGATTGACAATAAAGTTGTTATTATCATGCACTATAGCTAACATGCAGCCAGTTAACCTTCATCAAGTGTCCCACTATTGTTCCTTACATTAATACCTTATGCTTATTGAGGTACTTATTGTGTGTAATGCTTTATGTTTTACAGAATTTTCCAAAAAGCAGAATGATTTTCTTTTGAATATTACCAGATCAAAGGTGATTGTTTACGTCAAACCATGATAGAAATTTTGACCTATTTTTTTTCCGTCCTTACTGGTCATGTAAATTAATACTTCTTCTTAACAAAAGAATTAATGTTGCTTAATTTCAGCATGAAGCAATGAACAGATTTAATTCATTAGAAACACAGTATAATATGCTTAAGGTATGTACTTTGGCAGAATATAGTTTTCAGAGTGGTAGGGAAAAAGCTATTCTTTATTATTTGGGGAGCAAGGGTGGCGAAGTGGTGAGAGCACTTGCCTCCAACCAATGTGGCCCGAGTTCGAATCCTGGCATCAACGCCATATGTGAGTTGAGTTTGTTGTTGGTTCTCTCCCTTGCTTCAAGAGGTTTTTCTCTGGGTACTCCGGTTTTCCCCTCTCCTTAAAAACCAACACTTTCAAATTCCAATTCGATCTGGAGTGCACAGACATGTTTCGACAAGTCATTATGAACTCCTTAGTGCTCCGTGGGTAAACAAATTACAATTTACAAATTTACAATTACAATTTTCTTCTTGTAATATTTTTTTTATTGATTTCTTAAAAACAATAAAAGGCATTAATTGCAAGAGATAAATGAAATCTTGAATCTCCTTTTAATAATGTAAAGAATCTTGTTTAAGATAAAATCTGCCCTATTTAGTGGGCAGGATCCTGTGTAAGATCCTATGAGGTGGGCAGGAACCTGTATAAGATCCTATTTAGTGGGCAGGATCCTGTGGAAGATCCTATGAGATGGGCAGGATCCTGTATAAGATCCTATGAAGTGGGCAGGATCTTGTCTAAGATCCTATGAGGTGGGCAGGATCCTGTATAAGATTCTATGAAGTGGACAGGATCCTGTATAAGATCCTATGAAGTGGACAGAATCCTGTATAAGACCCTAAAAAATGAATTCACAGAGCCTTCTGTTTCTTCAGCAAGAGTTGTTTCAAATAAATGGGTAACTGATATGACAAAAAAATCCCCCTTGCCTCCTAAAGAAAAAGGGAAGAACAA